TGATTGTCGTCCGAGCCGAGTGCATTGGATGATCCTAGGAAGGTGGACGTCGCCCTCGCCTCGTTCGCCATGGCCTTGAGTCTGGCTACCGCGTTTTTAGCCTTGGTGGCAGCCCTCGCCGCCTTTGACTCCTCCTTGGCTGCCCGCTTCTGCGCCTTGATGGTCCTCGCCTCTGCAATCGCCCGCGCCCTCTGGAGGTGACCCGTGCCCGGCGGTCGGCCCCGCTTCGGCTTGACAGGCTGCACGCCAGCCGGAAGGGTTTCCGAGACAGGACTGGAATGCTGCTTGGCGTCCTTCGACCGCAGGGATAATCGACGCTCCTCATCATCATCCTCGTGGACCCTGGCTTTGCGCTTGGGTGTCTCGCGGACAGGCTTCGCGCGAGGCCGGTCTCGAGGCGAAGGCTCAAACTCGTCGTCCTCGGATCCACTCTCGGCGGAAGTCTCGCTGTCGTCACCACCGCCTTCGTCTTCGCCGTCGGATTCGGATCCATCCGCCGGTCGTGTGATCTTCCGCCGTCCTGTCGAAGGTGTAGAAACGGGGACTCCCCCCGTACCCTCGTCGTCCTGCTCCTCCTTGCCCGACTCCTGCGCACGCCGCTCGTCCTCCTCCGCCTGCGCAGCCGCGAGATCCCGATATGCCTTGAGCTTCTCCATTTCCTTCCGCTTTTTCTTCTCGGCCAGCTCCTTCATCGCCTCCTCGTCCTCGTCGTCCCTGAACCGGCCTCCTCGCCGCGTCCCGCTCGTCACCGCATGTCTCGCCTCCTCTCTCTTCCTCGCCTCCTCGACAGAGATGTACTCGTATCGCGTCCACACTCCGCTTCCCCTGATCTTGTTCTCGTTTTTCTTCCGCTTGGCCTCCTCCCGGGCGCGCTTCGCCTCGATCTTGGCCTCCGCGGCAGCAATGAGTGCCTGCTCCTTTGCGTCCTGACGGTTCCACTCTGACACGCGTAAAGACTCGACGACAAACTCCTCGGCGTCGATCTCGGCGCGAAGACGGAGTTGGCGTCGGATCTCTCGGGAAATGCGGTCGGGATGCCCCTGTCCGTACGAGCTCGAGGCCTCGACGATGGGAGGGACGACAATGATCTCCTTTTTCTTCTTTGTCAGGGATGGGAGGGGTATCGTCGAGATGCGTTTCGGGATGTATCCGTTCGGAACGAGGTGGGCGGGCGGGTACGCCTGAACGTCCTTGATTTGATGTGCCGGCCAGGGCAACTCGAAGATTAGGGCGTGGCGTGTACATCTGGACCATTAGCTCGGCCTCGGCCACTCGGTCGGTCAGTCCGCCCAGCTGACTTACCGAGCGCAGTGGTCAAAGTATCGACCTTGATACCAGATCCTCTCCGTAAGACCCTTTGCGCAGGTAGCGCAGCGCGGGAAGTCCTCTGGCAACTCCTCGTCCTCGGTTCCGGCCGAGGCTGGAGTCTCCTCCTCCACGGCGTTCTTCCGCTTCCTCGATCGTTTGAAGAAGCTCCACGGCTTGGCGTTCTTCACCGCTTGTCGCGCCAGCCGCTGACTGCGAGGGATCTCTATCGAGGACTCGGAGTCCGAACCAGAGCTCTCCGCCTCGTCCGCGTCCGCGTCCGCGTCCGCATCCACGTCCGCATCTCCGTCCGCATCGACCTTGCTCTCGATTTCAAGCAATTCCTCAGCTTCACCTGCTTCTCCCGATCTACCGTCCTCAACCCCCACCTCGTCCCCCAATTTGGACAATCCCTCAGCTTCTCCTTCGGCCTCGACAACTGTGGGTGAGTCGACGAGCGTGCTTGCGGCGGATGGATCGGCCGTCTTGTCCGAACCACCCAACACCGACTCGCGCGACCCACTCGGACCGGCGTCCTCTTCGTCCTCGCTATCTTCAGGGCGGATCGAGTGTCGTAGCCCACTAGGCCGGCTCTTGAGCTTACCAGGCGTACCGTTGGGCGTGTCCCATGACGAGCTGACCGAGCCTGCGCGGGAGGAAGATCGACGGCTATTTTCCTTCGGCGTGAAGCCGCCAGCGTTCTTTTGCTCGCATGTCAAGCACAAGCTGATGGGTCAGCGCGGGCAGGCGTGGGGTGTGGGATGAGAATACGGCTTGGTGCTCACCATTCGATGTTGCCCTTCCCGACTTGTGGGTTAGCAACGACACTCTCGGAAGAGACCTACAGTAGTTCTCCCCGCTGCTCTGGTCAGATCATGTAAATGCACAAAGAGGGCAGGATCGGGCCGACTCACTAGAACGTGGTTAATTCCTCGCCGATCTTGACCTGGCGGATCACCCGAAACGTCACGTATTTTCCCTGTCTCAGAAGCTCGACATTGGGCGAGCAATCGTGCTGCGTTGTCAGCGCACAACTTACAACCTTGGACCTTACGCGAGGACCACTCACGTTGAGGAACCTCGCTGGGCCGAGGAAGAGTTGGAAGCATCGTTTGAGTCCGGACCAGACGATTGAGAAATCTCGCCGTTTTGTCCGGTCGCTCCTCCTCTGCTTCTTATCCGCGTCCTTTGTTCGGGCGCGATCCCGCCGACTGGAAGTGACAGACGCCTCGTCGTCGTCCTCACTTTCACTCTCGCTCTCCTCGCCGGCCGCCTCCACCGCGAACCCTTCCCCAATCTCCATCTCGGTCCGCCACTGGTCCGGAAGAGGGACGACCGAGCCCTGCAGCTCGTGCAACACCGCCTGAGGCGCCAATGGACGCGTCGCGTACACGGCCAGCTCGGGGTGGCCGGTGATGAATGAGTATCGCTCGGTTGTGTGGATGTCGACCCGGGAGTTTGGTAATAGTGGAAGGAGGTAGCGGCGGAGGTGTCTGACAAGTGAGCGGGTGCACGCGAGATCTGCGACGAATATACATGTACGTACTGGATGAACCGATCCCTCTGCCCCTCGGTCTTCTTGGATTCGATGTGGCCCTTTATCAAGTAGAATCTGGCATGAGCAACAGCTCCTGCAAGTCGAGACTCACTCCTGGAGTTGCTGCATGGCCACGGCAATGTTCCCCTTGATCACAGTCTTATGTCAACAAACGCCCTTCGCTTGCTCACTCACATCATGCACGATATTCATCACGTCCTCCGTCTTGAATGTCGGCCCGACAAACTTGACTTGCTGGGGGTGCACGCCGAGCTTGGTGTTGGGCAAGCAGCCCAGCTGGTCGACGAGTATCCACGAGAGGAGATCATCGTCCGCCGAGAGGTCTTCTGCCGGGTGGGGGAGCGCGTCCTCGTCTGTCTTTGGCGGTCGGCCCATCGCGCGGCGAGTGTGGACGTGGGCGTTGTTCGGCAACGTCGACGACACGCAAGATGCAAACGGACGACAAGGCGCCTTGTCGAGGAAGTGATATGTCGCCCTGCCGAGAAGGGTGACACGCTACACGCTCAAGAACGAAATGAAGAAAGAAGGGAACCAGTGAGGTTGAACCTCCCGGCCTTTTCTCCCCTTTGAGTGCGCCCGCCATGTCACGAGACGACGCGTCAAAGCCAAGTCAACTCCCGGGTTCCTGAAATTTCACTTTCATTTTCATCCATCATCCATCCGTCCGCAATCTTGCATCCATTCCTTGCACCAATATAAACCCCACCTCCGATGCAGCTCCTACAAGCCAACAAGATCCTCCTCGCTTCGTGCGCAGTGGTCATCCCCGGTAAGCGGATCCCGTCTCGAGTTTTGCCAGGTCCGGTAAAGCTCTGCTGACTTTTTCGCAGCGTCCTTCTGGGCCGGGATCCAGCTGAAGGAACGATACCTCGCCAGCGAATTTGAGAAGGCCGATGCTGCGCCGGGACCAGGAGAGAGGGCGAGGATGGCCAGAGTCGCGCAGTGAGTAAGGTGTGAACGTCATCAAAGGGGCAAGGGCCAATCTCTTCCTCGAGGATGGAGTGCGGCACATCGTTGTAGGACTGGCCGAGGCGTCAGTGCAGAGCTGATACGCCTCCAGATTGCAGACCGAGAAGACGCAGCTGCTCGAGGAACGCGAGTCGCTGGACCGCAAGATTGAAGAGATCAAGCAACGCACCGCGGGCAAGATCTGATCGAACTCGGAATCCGGTATTCGCGTTGGAGCCGAGGGGTGCGCGGCGCTACAAGCGAAGGTGCATCGCATCACGAGTCGATCGTGCGCAAGAAGGGACGAGGGGAACAGAAGGATCGATTCGGTCTGGAGGGCGGACATTCTCGTCATCGACACTCGAAGAGTCTCCGCCAACGATCTCTGCACCGGATTGCGGAGCCATCATCCTTCGCCCAGCGGCAGACGGAAGCCCGGCTTGTGAGTCGACGTCGCCTTCTCATCAGCCCCCTGTTTCACCCCTTCCCATGCCCCCGTGTGAGCGTCAACATTGAGGTGTTTTCTGATGAACAACTTAGCATGTCCTATCCCAATGATACACGAGTCGACTGAAGATGCGATTGGAAAGGATTCACAACAACACTCCTGGCCCCCGGCCACCGTGCACCATGCGTACGCGAAGCCTCCCAAACTCAACCAGGGAGCGAGACCTTACTCTTCGGCACTCATGGCCGAGGTCCCGATATGCATGGGCTTCTTCCTGACACTGTCCATCCTCGCACTCGCATCACCTCTCCTCGAGGAAGTCATAGGTGACCTAGCCTTTTCTGTGACGAGGAGCCTCACATGGTCCACTGCCCACGGGAGTGACGTGCACCCACGTACAGTACAATCAGGCACCTTGGCCTTTCTCTCACAAACATTCCCCGGTCTGATCCGACACGACTACTGTATCAGACCACCAGGGCGCGCGCCGTCATTCTCATTGTCGTCAGCGCCACATTCCGAACGAGGCTCGCTGCGGGCCCAATTGGCGCGGTTCGATGACCAGATCACGGCGACGACCACGGCTCATAGCCTCACTCAGAGCAATAAGCCTATGACTAGCGTGACCGCTGCATTGTCTGCCGCCCGCAGTTTCGCCCAGAACATATACCCTGCGACGAGCAGGCCGCTCCACCACCGCTGTCCACGTCGGCTCGAGGATAACAAAGGATAAAATAAAAAAGCCCCAGCTGTGGATTGAACACAGGACCTTTCCATGTGCAAGACCTGCAAACTCAAAACAGAGAATACAAGTGGAATGCGCTACCACTACGCTACAAGGGCATCACTCTTGTTGGCTTAGCAAACATATATAGTACGCATGAAACCCATTGGTCCAGATCAGCGCGCTCTGGCTATACTGTCTGAGTGTGGGAGGCTCTAAGTTCAATGCGAGCCGTATGGAGTGCTGTAAGGTCATAGGCGGTGCGATGGCTTGACGCTGGGCAGTCCTTCAGCCAGCGCGACGGCCCAGAGCAGGTGAGGGAAGTAAGAGAGGACTCCGCAGCAGTAGGAAGTAGGCCTTGTTGATCCCCTTGAAGCGAGGCCAATCGACATGGGCTCGCCGATGCAGCTGCTTGACCTCGAACAGGTACAAGTGCATTTCGACGCGTGGGTATTGCTCCAGTATGATCAGGCATTCCTCGCGGCGGCGAGTCGGGCGCGGCGCACGATCGACCATCCGGCCGCGACGACTGAAGGTTTCGGGGGATCCCTTTGTCCGGTCGTGTGCCACACTGGCGTGAACAAAGGAATCTTGGTCTGCGGTCCTGGTATCGACCATCTATCTGGCCGGTATGCAAATACCGACCAGTTGAAGGCAGATTTTGGAGAACACGCGACATTGTTCGTCCGGCCCGAGATACAGTGTCGAGACCTGACGGACTGTATTGGAGAATTGTAAATGAGGGGATCGGAGGCTCGGTGCCAGGGCGGCGATAGTGCGAGCGCCCCCCTCACTAGGCGGTAGCGGATCTCCCGCTCAATCGCAGGAAGCAGATGATCCCACTCCCACGCCTTTATCCCTAAACTCCGTCCATCTCTCACCCTCATCACCCTCCGTGTGGGCCCGCCGTGTAGGTGCGGTCGATCATCCGGTACCCGCCTCCAGAGACCTCGCTCCCCAAAATTCAGCATCCATACGTATGTACATATAGGTGTACAGTACAAATATTGTTGCTTCTACGAGCTCGTCGGGAAACCGAATTCGCATACTGTACCGCACAACCCACATCGCGGTCCATGCGGCAATGTAGGCCACACGGTTGCCACGGGAGTGCTGGACTGGATCCCACGTCCTCATCCAGCAGATGTTGTGTGCATGGAGCCAATAGACAACGGAGGGCATTGGCCTTGCACGATGGTCCGCGCGGCACGTTGACACAGTACTCACACTGCGATATCGCCCCGCTCATGAGCCTGCTGAGAATGGCACGGGGATGTGGGCGAAACTCGCACCGTTCGCAGCGGTGATCACTGCGGTCGTTCGGTACCGCGGAACCGTTCTGTGCCCGTTGTTCACTACCAGCAGTTCACCACCCGCGTCTTCGCTTCTTCTTCTTCACTCCGCCACGTCTATTCCCAGGCCCACGTTCAATACAGCACTGGCACTGAAACTGGTCCTGTAGCGCATGAGTTCCGCCGTTCATTCACCGCCATCACCTCTCGGAGTTGAGGAGGTACCTCCCCTCCACGCCACTCCGCCTCGACGCGAAGCGCGCCTCAACGCCGGAGCTTGCCTTACGGACCCGAACTCGGTGAGTCAAAGTCGCCGGATTTCGCTCGGTCGTCATAGAGGAGGCAAGGGAGGGCGGAGCAATTCTCGCGGACCCGATCGAGGACCAACAGAGCGTCGGGAGAATGAAGCCATGCCTGGAATCTGACAAACGAAGGAGGGGAGGGGCGCGGGACACTTCTCGCCTGGGTTGGCACAAAGGGCGGTTGGGGAAGGACGACCGGGAAAAAGGTGAAATGCGACCCGGGAAAAAAAAAATGTGACTTCTTGGGAAGAGGCCATGTCCCTCCATTGCGGGCGGAGTGGACTGTAAGAGATCGGGGCGCGGGTCTGCGGAGGAACAATGGTGCAGTAGAATCGGGACAACGGGGGCTGTGCACAGTCGGAGGTTGGTGATGTTTTGAAGGTACTGTTCGAGTACATTGTGTTCTTTGAACGGACGTACAGGTATAATTCGAGCGCGGTGCGGTGGTGCGCTCCAACAGTATATAACCTGCCCCAACACAGACGCAGGAGGAACAACGACGATCCAAGTCCGAAGCCGAAGTTCTATACAGTAGCCCTCTCGACCGGGTTCTGACGGTACGAGGACTGTAACAATCAGCCCACCACAAACGACCAAAGCTGTTGTACTCGCACTGTGCAAGTACGTGTGCACGCACGTCAACAGCCCAGACTCGCATCATGTCCGGTTAGGGAGCACCCACCCAAGACCGGGCACCGGCTCCATCCTCGTCTCTCAACGAGGACGCCGCCACTGACGCCGCGAATTTGCACGATCCAGATGAGGTGTCCCGGGCTGCGGATGCGCACGCTGGCCACTCTGGCGCTGCTTCAGAACTCGAGCGCGACGAGGAGGCCCAAGACGTTCGCTCCGAGTCTGACAACTCTGTCCCTTCCGGTCTCATGGTTTCCAAGCGGAGCCCGGACGACGACGACGACGAGGACGTCGCCGACGCCAACGCAGTCTCCTGGACGACCCGTGGTCTTCCCGTCGATGCCTCCGACGTGCTGCTGATAGCACAAGAAATGGCGCGTGCCCAACGCACGGATCCGGACCCCGAGCTGGCCGCCGAGGACTTCCCAGAGGAGATCCGGAGCGTGGACGACGTGTCGAATCAGTGGCCGAAATGATCATACGGCATTTGGTCGAGCTGGGGATCGGGTCTACTTCGGGTCAGCGCCGGATACACAGTTTGAGGTCTGGGGAAATCGATACGAAGTGAGTATTCCTCAATTCCCATGGGCCTATACGGCCTTGCAAATACGGACGCTTCCGGAGGCTGCTCGCATCACCATTGTCACGACTACGACTACGACTGCGACTGCGCTACATGCACATGTACATCATGTACATGTGATATACATGTGCATCCGTACACACGCGCCTGCCCCTCCGCCCGCGTGACGCAGAGGACTTGACTGTGGCACGAGCTGACCAACTCAGTGCTGGAGGTTTCGAAGCGATATCTCCCTTGAGTCTCGGTTCGGGTCTGTTGAGCTTCGAAGCCAGCTCTTCCTCTCCTGCCCAAGATCGCGCCGGAAACGCCGGAACATCCACAAATCTCTCCCCGTTCATGCCCGACTCCAGCGCAACGCACCTCGCCATCTCACGCACGGAGCCCAAGTCCGTCCGTAGCCTCGCCATGCTCAGCGAGGGCACCGGATCGCCGACCCACTCTGCCCTGCTGCGGGCCGTGAATAGAATCGCGTGGGATCGGACACACGGCTCGTCCACCGGCCTGCAGGGGATGGACTCGGGACTCATCCACGGCAGTCCCCGTGGTCACTCGGTCGAGGCCGGTCCGGCCGGTCCAAGCAGCGCCGCAGGTCTGCTCGTCCCGACTGGTTCTCGGTCCACGAGAGCGACGAGCCCGATTCCAATCGTAACGCTCACGCAGTCGAACTCACCGAGTCGAGATGAACGGAGCTCAAACAGTCCTCGCGGTGGGGAGACGCGCGCTCCCTGAATGCGCAACGTCTCACGAACGATGCAAAGAGGACGGCACACTTGGCAGATGTCACCTATGTATACGCAGGGAGCTAACACCGAGAGCGGAGACGAGGTGAGGCGTCCTGCATCGGCGTGCTCGTCGAGAAGCTGCATGCAGAGCATTGGCTGTTCGATTCGGAACTGCAAGACGCGTGTGTCTGTCTCCCTTATGCCTATCACACCGGCGCGGCTTGGTGCGTTGTGCACCGCCTCCCACCGACTCATGCCACATTGTACTGTACTTGTACAGTACATACAGTACACGCGATACAGCATATGAAGGGGACGTGCTATGCTCGTCAGGCTCAGCAACCGCAGCTCTTGGTCGTTGAGATCCTTTGTCAGAGCGCACCAAGCACCGAACCACCTTCAGGCGGTCGCCGGGCTGATTGAGCGAACGGCAGCGAATCGCACCACCTGAGCTCCGAGTGAAGGACTGCGGGATTGTCTGTCTTGCCGACCTTTGAGAGCTTCGCACAAAGGACAGGGCGGTGGCGAGTCGGGCTCAGTACATGAACAAGGGACGAGGGAGGACGAGAGACAAGGGAGAGACAGTCGGTCCACCATAACAGTTCCCACGGAGGCCAGGAGTCCATCAGCGGAGTCTACATGGATCGTGTACGGTACGGTACTCGTGCTGCACGCTTACAGCCGAGTACAGGATTGGATGTATTGTATACACCGTACTCATATATCTGATATACCGTATACGTATTGGAATCAATCGCCGACAACCTCGACATCTGAACCCATAACCCAAACCTCGTAGCATGTCGGATCCCCCCTCGTCGGACGACGGCGTCCCGCCCGACCTCCTATTTTCTATTTCAGAACTGGGGGATGACACCCATCACGACAATCTTGACAGTCGCGAGCACGTCGACCCTGACGAGCTGGTTAGTCTCGCCCAGAGATTCGCGGACGAGATACGAACCTCGAATCCAGAGATCGATCTGGGCGAAATTGGACTTATGGAGATCTCAGAGCCGGCACATGTCCCGGCGTGGCTTGTTGACATTATTTCTGCACATCAAAATCGGCTCCGGTCACAGTCTCTGTCCGTGCCAAGCTGGGACGCCGAGCTTGGGAAGAACGTGGACAGCGGTCTGTGAGTGCAGTCATATTCTGTGTTCACGTTCCCGCTGCGTTGCGTTGCGGTGCATTTAAGCGCCACCGGTATGAATGAGTACTATTCTGCGGGCGCGGAACGTAGAGTATGTATGTACTCGTACTATACCTGTGTACTATACTTGTACTCGTCAAGTACATGTGCATAGAGGGAGCAGCCGGGAGAACCAGCACTGACAATTCGAAGGGCGGGATCGGTGTCCACTCTCAGTCTAGGCTCGGCGCTGATCGCCCCTCCAGAACCCCATTCGCAGGCTCACGACCCAGCTCACCCTCCCTCTGTCGGACGTCATTTCAGTCCCTATACCCATTCTTCTTTCCTGCCTGATTCTGAGGCGACTGAACGAGCCTTGACCAGCGGTATCCCCGAGTACATTATCCAACGCGCCAGGGAGTCCCAGGGGACGGATCAACCTACGAGCTCTGCGG